AAGAGTTAAGTGACTTCTTCGCTGTCATGCAGCTTGTAAGTAGCAGAGGGAAGGTGCCAGGTCAGAAGCCAGGCCCCAGAGCCCAGTCTCTCATTCTGTCTCCCAAATCATCTCGTGATGTGGGAGGTGCTTCAAGTCTTCACTCCGAGTCCCTGTCTGGGGGCCTAGCAGGTCGTGGTAGAAAGAACCAAATCATGTGGGAAGTGTGAGCTCCCTTCCAGCTCCTGACCTGGTACGTGGGTCATCCCCATGTCCTCACCCAGGCCTTTCTTCTGCCATCAGTGTCTGGGGCCTGCGTCTGATGGGTTGAGGGATGTAGCCAGTGCTGTAAGGAGGCCCTCCGGGGCCCTGGCACAGGGGTCAGAACCTGGGACCCCCCCCCCTGTGAGTCCTATGCCAAAATAGCGCCTCGGGTCTAGACAAGACTCAAGAGAAATAACGCTATTTGTTGCCATTTATTGAGCATTTTATGTGTCCGGTACTGTGCTAGGTGCTTTAAATAAATATTTCATTTAATGCTTACAACAAATAAGAAAACAACAACATGGTGGAAGGTGCTAGTGTTACTCTCATTTCCAGTGAGGAAGCCTGAGTCTAGAGAATCTGGAGAACTTGTCTGGGGTCACACAGCTAGTAGAAGGCTGAGCAGCAGTGTGGACCCAGCCTGGCTTCCTGGACTGCGCCTCAATCATTGTGAGTCCTGCCTCCGAGTCATCTCTGAAGTTGGGGGTTGGGATGGGGAGGAAATGCAATGTCTGTGTCTGAATGCTTGTTTTCTTTAGTCCTTCCCCCTACCACCCCCAACAGGAAAGATTAAAAAAAAAAAAGCCCCAATGATGTCTCCGAAGCTTGTTGTGTCTGTCTCTTGCTCCTCCTTCCCCAGCCCCCATGCTGGAGATAGCGAGACTTTTGTCTGAATGCTGCGGTGCTCATTTTTGTTGGGAACCCTCCAGCTCTCTTGCCAGTTTAGAAACTAATGGAGATTTCCCTTCGCCTCTGCAGAAGCAGGGTCTATCTAGGTGTCTCTCTTATTTTGGCTTGTAGCAACGGAGAAGGGTTGGGGCGGGAGGTTGGAGATGAGTCCAGGATTTCAGAGCCCAGTGGGGGGGACAGTCTGGCTTCGCTGGCGAACACCCCTACACACATACGCACACGCCCCACTTCCCCCGCAGCAAGACATTGTCAGGGAATCTGAGCACGTTTCTGGGCCCATTGCCTGCTCTGGTCTTTCAGACTCAGGACCACCTGCTTGGTTGGCCACCAGCACTTCCTTGGCGGGGACACTCAGCTGTGTTCACTGTTCTGCCCTAGACAGAGAGGTGCACTTAGTCTGCCCTGCACCCAGACCCTCCAGCTCCCCGAGGAGAGGCAAGAGTGGAAAGGGAGCTGAAGGAGCCCCTTGATGTGGGAGGGGACTAGGGCTCCTTCCTCCCATTCTCAGTGCCTCATACCCTTCTCCCAAGTACATTTCTGAGAAGTGGCCTCTGTGTCTTGCTGGTTGGAACTTGTCCACCATCTTGGAGCCAATGTGTCCCTTCCCCCCAAGAATGAGGAGGAAAACCTCATCAAGGACTGAGATGTGGCATGTGCTTTGGAATCCTGGCTACTCCTGAAGGACAGCCCCGGGCCTGCAGGAGCAAGTGGTCTAGCATCTCACATGGCGGGGGGCTGGTGCCTGGGTGGGGATGGTGGCCCTGACCTCTCCAGAGGCCCCATGAGATTCTGGGTCTGGCTAAGGCCTGAATGGTCCTGCCAAAGAGACCTGACTGGGGTGGGCCTCGGCCGCCCCCACCCCCACCTCGGACCTGAGGAGAGGCCCAGTTTCCCAGCTTCCATCCCCAGTAGGGAAGCGGACTAGCAGCATTTCCTGCTGGTTCCAACTTGGGGTCCCTGCAGGAGGTTTACTGTGGGAGCTGGGATTTAACACCTTGCAGCCTGGGAAGCTGCCAGTCCCCAAAGGGTGGAGGCTGTGCAGGAAGACTTCTTTTTTTGTCTTTCACACCCAAAGATCACTTCCGTAGCCAGCAGATGGGCGGATGGGGGCGATGGCATGTGAGGTGTGCAGGAGGAAGGAACGTGCACTTCAGAAAATGGGGCTGGGGAGGGGGGCGCAGAGATCCAGTGTATGTTTCGGGAAGTGAAAGGATCCTGCTGCTTCAGCACAGTGTGGGACAGGGGCAGGAGGCCCTCAAGACAATTGAATGTACCAGCCAGGACCCAGCACTGGTACCAGACAGATCCAAGTTCAAATCCCTGCTCTGCCACCAAGGAGCAACCGTTAACATTTACTGGCGTCTCTGCTAAGGGCCTTCTGCCCATAATTTGATTCCAGCCTCACAAAATCATATGAAGTATGTGCCAGCTTTATTCCTATTTGACTCAGGTTTCCTGCGGTTCTGAGAGAGGAAGAAACTTGCCCAAAGTCACACAGCCAGTGAAGATAATGCCAAGTCTCAAACCAAGAGCAGTGGAGCTCGGAAGTCTCTTCGTTCTTAACCTGTGCTTTACCGTTAAAAGAGTCACTTACAGTCTTTGCTCTCCCGGCCATCTGGCCTTGGGGAAGTCACCCCACTTCTTTACATCCTTATTAAGTTTTCACCTCTGGGAAATGGGGAGATGAATGTCGTTCTCCTAGGTTTCTCATGGGCGTTAAATGAGAGGATGCTTGGAAGTCTTTCAGCCAGTGCCTAGCCTGTGATAATATTGTCATTCATTCATTCAACCACTATTTATTCAGCACCTGTTCCATGCCAGGTTCCATTCTAGGTGGACAAGCTAGAAGAGGGCTGTCCCAGCTCCACTAAAATGAGTAAGCAGATAAGCTAGCTAATTTCAATTAGTGATATGTGCTATGAAGAAAAGAAAAATAAAGTGAGGACAGTTACTATAGAGACATGACGGTCCACTGTAGCTGCGTGGTTAAGGGAGGCCTCTTTGAAGAAGGGCCAGTTGAACTTAATTCCCAAAGAAAGGAGATATGGGGCCCCATTCTTCCAGGCTAAGGGAACAGCAAGGGCAAGGCCCAGGGTTGGGAACAGAAAGGAGGCCGGTGTGGCTGGGACAGTGGGAGGAGGCTGGAGACTCATCCACCTGGGCAGATGGTGGGTCTGGGCCTCGGTGAAGCAGGACCATGAATGTCGTAGGAAGGTGTTTGTGTAGAGGGAAATCTTTGGAGGGTTGAATCCAGAGAGTAATGTGATCTAATTTATTTATTTAAGAGGTGGCTTTGGCTGCTGTGTGGAGAATCAAATATGAGGGGAATGATTGGAGAGGGAGAGAGGGTGGAGGCTGGGCAAGACAAGAACCCCCAGTGGAAAGTGGTGGATGACGCTTCCCACTGGTGGACCAGGACAGCAGCAATAGAAATCCAAATGAAGACAGGACTTGTACAACCAGCTGAGCAGTACTTTCCACAAAAGTAACAAGCCTCAGACCTCACAGCTTGTCAAAAGTGGAGTTTGAGCTCTTTTCCTAACCCTGTGGAAAGATCCTCACCTTCGTCTTGCTACGGAGCAGTATCCATTGACATTAACATTTTCCTTTTCTTTTTTTTTTTAAGATTTTATTTATTTATTCATGAGAGACACACACATAGAGAGAGAGAGGCAGAGACACAGGCAGAGGGAGAAGCAGGCTCCACGCAGGGAGCCCGATGTGGGACTCGATCCCGGGTCTCCAGGATCATGCCCTGGGCTGAGGGCAGGCGTTAAACCACTGAGCCACCCAGGGATCCCAACGTTTTTCTTTTAAGCAATGAGAATTTATACTTTTGGGAGTTACTGATTGTAACTGCATATCTAGACTTTATGAGGTCAAACTGGATTTCTGTAGAGAGCAGGGTTAGGTGAACTTTTTCTGTGAAGGAGCGGATAGTAAATATTTTCATTTTTGTGGGCCTTGCTGCCTCCTGTCAGAACCATTCAACTCTGCTATTATAACTGGAGAACAATCATATAAAATGCATTAAAAATGGGCATGGCTCTGTTCCAGTAAAACTTTATGTACAAAAACAGGCAGTGAGCCACATTCAGCCCATGGATTATATATAGTTTGACAACTCTAGTAGAAAGTATCATTTATTTATATGACCCAGATAAATTTTTTTCTCTAAAACCAACTCAAGGCATTTTCCCCAGACCATTTTGTAAAGCTAGGATGCATCTTACACACCTGTGCTTCTCTTAATACTAGGAAACATGATGTAATTTAACGATAACTTAGTCCAGTGGTTTTCTTAGTGATTCTTTGGAGGTAACTCGGGGAAATGAAGGTGATAGTGAGGGTAGAGCGCTTTGGATCCCTGCACCCCATGCAGGAGAACTTCTTGGATACGTGTTTTTTTTTTTTTTAATTGGTGGCTTTCAAAGAAATTTGTTTGGAAAAGAAAAAAGAGTTAGGGACTAGGGGAAAAAAAAAGAAAGAAAGAAAACCAGTGATTGATTCTAAATGGTTAGAATCATGTCCCCTTGCTGGTGTCATGTGTTAGGGAAACATTTATTACATAATTGCATATAGAACAAATTAACACATAAATTTTCTAACTGGATGGAAAAGGGTCAGGAAAGAGTTGCTTTAGGGTACTATTTGTGGGGTAAAGGATGCAGATTTAGGCTCAGAAGAAGACCACCGCGTCTACTTTCAAAGCCTTTTGGGGTGGAGTCAGCAGGTTGGCATACGGCAGTCTTGCAGAGGCTTGGACTCCACCTTCAGACACAGGTTTGAAACTCTGCTCTAAGTGGCCAAACTTTTCTTTCGCCCTCTTGTTATACATTTTCCCAGCTGGAAAACTGGAATGATAGTACTTCCCTTTTCACCCAGCTGTGGGGTGGATTAAGTGAATTAACCTATGCAAATTGCCTAGCACATTGCCAGGTGCTTGAGAAAGTAATTTCCTTCCTCATTCTGTTCTCAGGGGTATGGGTGAGCTCAAAGGCTTTGAGACCTTCTACCCTCTCTCTCCTCTTGACTCCAATTTCCATGCCCCAATCTTCTCCTCCCAGGATGTGGCCAGGTTCTGCGGGCCTCAAAGGGTCAGATTTTGTTGGAGAGCTACCCCCTAAACGCTCACTGCGAATGGACCATTCATGCCAAACCTGGGTTCATCATCCAGCTAAGGTAAGGGGCTGGGGTCAGAATTAGGGAGTTTGAGGTTATAAGGAAACACAGTAAGAAGGCTGAGGGCCCTGGATCCTAGTGACCTCAGGGTAACCATCAGCACTTTATTCTTAAAAGTAGGAAATGTGGGGCGCTGGGGTGGCACAGTTGGTTTAAATGTCTAACTCTTGATTTTAGCTCTGGTCTGATCTCAGGGTTATGAGCTCGAGCCCTGAGTTGGGCTCCCTGCTCAGCGTGGAGTCTGCTTGAGTTTCTCTCTCTCCCTCTCTCTCTGCCCCTCCCCTGCTTGCTCGCACATGCTTGTGTACTCTCTCTCTCTCTCTCTCTCTCAAATAAATGGATATATCTAATAAAAATAAAAATAAAAAATAAATGGATATATCTTTAAAAAAAACAAAAAACAAAACAAAACAAAAAACCCAAACTAGAAAATGTATACTGGAGGCTTTTCTTAACCTCTTGACTATTCCATGGGATAAAGCCTGGTAAAAACTACAGCCAATTACATGTTTGTTATTCACGGCCCTAGAATGGGGGGTTAGGGGGTTTAGGTTCTTTTGACCCAAGGATAATACCAACAAAGAAAATATTGATAGCAATCTACCCATCCACAAATCTTTACCAAGTCTTCCTACTCATCCAGGACTGGGCTGGGTTCTATAGGAGGAAAGGGAAGAAATAAAAAGCACAGATCTAACCTTCAAGGGATTTATTCTCCACATTGGGGTTTTTGCTCATCAGCTCCTTTCACTGAAAACAACCACTTCTCAGAGAACAACCACCACCCCTGTAATAAATAAACCAGGTTTCTCTTCTTTGTGTGGAAGATAAGCCATTTCTTCTTATGGAACTTTGGAGTCCTCACAAATATTTAACTTATGCCATAGTTCAACCTACAGACCCAGTTTTATTGTAACTCTCAATAAATAGCACAAGAGAGTGCTGTTCTATGCAAACTGTTTACTGCTGCATCCTAGTGCCAGGAGCAGCACACGGCACACACCATAGCAGCTTGCTAGATACTTGTTGCATGAATAAATGTCGGAAGAACTCCTCTCTGCCTCCAGCACATCTCCTCTCTCCTGGCTAATGCCTCTCCTTCTCCTCTCTAGGGAAGCGGAGTGGCCCACTCACCTTTGGGATTTCTAGAGGCCTTGTTCGCTTAGTTCTTCCCTTTCTTCCCAGTAAGGAGGGTGGCAGTGATAGATATCTCTACTCTTCTAGGGCTCAGGTTTTCAATAAGTATTTTCTGGATGGATCAGTGGAGGTCTCCACATTGCTGCTGGTTCCTCAGATGGCTCTTTGTCCTCCAAGAGGGGCAACATGTGGGACCCTGCCTTGGAAGGATCCAGCAAGGAATTGATCCTTGTCAATTCTCCTCACCAAAACTGGTCCCCAATGGTTGGTCTCCCCCTTGAGGATCTGAGGTTGGGAGTGAGGCTCATTAATTGGAATTTTCCAGAGGAAGGTTAGCATAAGGAACACCTGAGGGGTTTCAGGTGGGGTCTGCCAGGGATGATAAGGGCAGGTGTTAATGCCACATATTATTTCAGCACCTCAGGGACCAGGCCTGTGGTCTCCTTAGGGAGCTCTGAGGAGCTTCTCCAAGATCCAGGATGCAAAGGAAATCTCTCGCAAACAAAAATCCAAAATGGTAGAGGGATTGGACAAGCACATCACATGCCTAGGAAAGGCTTAGAAATATATAGATTTCTTTCTTTCCAGTCAAACCTGGACTTGCTGGCCAGTGATGATAATAACAACAACAGAAACACTAACGCACATGTACAATGTTCAGACCAAAAGCTGGGCAGTCATCCCTGGTACTGCCCCCCTCTCCCCAGCACTGCAGCCAAGCCATCACAAAACCTATCTTCTTACCTGAAAATAATCTCAAGTCCACCCATTTCTGACTCTGGTGCCATTATTCTACTTTTACCACCACCATCTCTCACCTTGACTCTCCGATGGCCTCCTAACTGGCTTCCATGTTTCCATTCTTGCCAGCTCTGCTGTCTTCTCAGTCACTAGAGTGATCCTTTAAGATCCTAAATCCAATCATTGATTCTGGGGTTGAAACCTTCCAGCTCATTCCTATCAGGCTTGGAAGAAAACCTAGACTCCTCACCATGCAGGATCTGGCTCCTGCTCTCCTTGCTGACAAACCTCAGTTCATACCGCTCTCCCCTTTATACTCCACCTTACGGCATCCCTGACCTTCTTTCAGTTCCTCAAATATGCCAAACTCATTACTGCCTCAGGGCCTTTGCTCTTACAGAGTCCCCTGCTTGGACTTCTCTCCCCCATGACCTTCACTGGCTGCCTCTATGTCATCATGTATGTGTCTGCCCAGATATCAGATTGACAGAGAGGTCTTCCTTGGCCACTTTGTATAAAAAAAACTTACCCTCCCACTTACTTTTTATGCTTTTATCTGGCTTACTTTCTTCACAGCACTTAATACTCTATGGAATTACCTTGTTTTCTGGTTTCCTTGCTTATTGTTTGTCCCCCAAATCAGAACTACTCTCTGCTAGGGCTGGCACAGCTTGGGTGTCATCTAGTTGGGGCACTGCTGTGCTTTCAGCACCTAGAACAGCGCCCGCCACGGAGCAGTCTGGCCACAGAGAGACGTTAAGTACGTGAATGAATGAATGTACAGATACAAATACAACTTGCAATATCTCACGTTTCAGTTTCAGAAGAAAACTGTGATCTCTTTTTGAGTGGTGGCCTTGACCCTGATGCTTCCCTTTTCAGACAGAGATACCAAAGTCCAGAGAAAGAAGTCACCTGTCGAGGCCCACAGCAAGCTAGTAGTGGCATCTGGGTGAGATCTCAGCTGCTTAGATGTTAGACCGCATTTCACAAAGCATGATTAATGGGCCTTAGAATCCCTTATGAAAGGTTTGTGATAAAAAAATTTATAGAATAAACATCAGTTATAGGGTTTATTTTTAGTAAGACCTTTAAGCGCATTTAAAATATACCGATTGTCATTATGTTCTAGTGTTCTCTAATCCTGGCACTTGAACTTTTTACCCAAAGTGGTAGAAATAGGCCCTCATCCAGCTTTTCAGGTGGCCATTGTGAGCCCTTCTATCTTACTTCTCCAAAACATGAGGGAGAAGATACAGATGTACATTCTGTGACCGTGGTACCCAAGCATTCCCTTTGGAATGATCTGAAAATGGCTTTTCCTCTCTTGCTCTGGGATGTGGCTGTCTCCTGTCTTGTCCCTTGCTATTGGAAGCTTGGGGTCATTGTCTGCTTTTTTTATCTAATGTATTTTGATCTAGTGTATTTCCAAACTCAAGACCCTTTTAGGAAATCACAGGTTTATCTGATCTCCCCCAGTTCTGAAATTCTGATATAGTGCTACCTTTTCTACTCTTTGGTGGCAAGAATTACTGCTACCCAGAAGATCTTGCCTTCTCATCCTTCCATCAAACAGGGGAATGTGCAGAGATTTTGTTCTTTTATTGACTTGTGCAAGACAGTATGTGCTTTTTCCCATTCTCCTATTGTAAAATTATAGTATCCATTCAACCACCTATTCACTAATGTTTGCTTGGCATCTCTGTGTGCCAGGCACCATGTTAGGCACTATGCAAAAAATGGTGGAATAAGATGTTCTCTTCTACACTCAAGAAATTTTCACCTAGTGGAGGAGATGGACATGTATACATTGCATACAGACACACACACAAAAACACAAAATCAAGAAGATGAATAAGAGAAATTAAAATTTATATACCCATTATAAAGAGAACAGGGGATCTCTTTTATAAAGAGTTGTCAAGGAAACCTTGTTGAGGAGAGAATATTTAAGGTGAGGCCTGAAGATAGGAAGGAACCAGCCATGCTGACTGGGAGGACAAGTGCCCCTGGAAGAGAGGCCAGCATGTGGTATGCCCTGTTCTGCCTGGACATGCACACACACATGCGCACAGTAGACACAACCATGCCCTCTGCTAAAATAAATTCATCTGACCTCCCATTGTCCAGGACCCTTTTCCTATTGGATCAGGCCAGTGGCACCACTCCTCTGAGACTTGTTCATCCTCTGGCCTTGAAGTGGATCTCAGGATGGACCAGGGCTCACCTGTTTCCTGTTGTCACCCTCTCTACCCACAGGTTTGTCATGTTGAGCCTGGAGTTTGACTACATGTGCCAGTATGACTATGTTGAGGTCCGTGACGGGGACAGTAGCAACGGCCAGATCATCAAACGTTTCTGTGGCAATGAGCGGCCAGCTCCCATCCGGAGCACAGACTCTTCACTCCACATCCTCTTCCATTCAGATGGCTCCAAGAATTTCGATGGCTTCCATGCCATATTTGAGGAGATCACAGGTAAAGGCCACGGAGATAAATGTAGCATTTTATGGCTGTGTTCCAGACAAACATCTCCTTTCTGAACAGCACTCCCTTCTCTCTGCACAGCCTTATTAAAACTCAGTGTGCTGGGTTCTTGGATGCAACCTACACTTTGAGAAGGAAGAAATAAATGGCAAGGTATATTTCAGAAATGTTCACCAGAAGCTTAGCTAGTTATTATGGATGCCCTTGTATAGACGCTGGAGCAGGGGAGGGCAGGTAGTTTGAGGTCACAAAGTAGTCGGCTCTATGGTTCACACTAGGGGGCCTCTCATAGTTAAGCGCATGGGCTTTGGAGCCCTGGTAGATTAAGCTGTATGACCTGGGGTAAGCCCTACTTCTCTCGGCCTCAGTTTCCTAATCGGTGAATAAAGAAAAAGCATAGGTCCTGCTCCATTAAGGAGGTTCTGGGAGATGAAATAGGTGAAGAGCTTAGTATGGTGTCTAGTACATAGGACATACTCAGTAGCTGCCCAATGGCAGGTGTGCCCTGAGCCTCCATCTGTCATCTGCAAAATAGGCATTAAAAGTGTTTCATTCAGTGGTAAATGCCACTTGCTTTGTGAGTACACTCCAAGCCTGACTTGAACTCCCGCCCTGTTCATATCAGGAAGTAGGATTTGACCAAAATGAGCCAAACACACAATCCTAGGGAAGTACCCTCAGCTCTCACTGTTCTGAGATTGGATCTTACTGTATCCGGCTCTACAAACCAAGCTCAGAAGTTCTGTTTTTTTTTTTTAAATACCTAAGTAGGCATTGTAGTGGCATTTTGATTGCTATGTCTTCTCATGGAAGGTATGACACAGAAGTCTCAGGAAAAGCGGTAGTGGCAGTGGGGTCATCCTTCTGTAGCCTTGTCCTTTCAGCAGGATGGGCGGACAGCCCCCACCTGCCTTTCCCTTAGCTTATCTCCATGTGAGCTCTCACTGTTGCTTCTCATCTGTTCTACTGCCTTCCGAGGATGTCCCCTGTGGAGCTGTGCAGGCCTGGGGCTTCTGGAGGCTGTGTCACTGTGGTGTGCTGTGTTGTGGTGTGGCGTGGTGAGCCTGTGGCTGATCCCTGCCCTTGGTAATATATGGCCAGCCAAGACTGGGTAGGGTTACACTTGAGACACGTGTGTGGGTATTTGCAGCAGTCAGCAGGGCTGGCTGTCAGGGGAGCCAGGGAGAAGCAGCAGTGGCTCACCAGCCTATGACCCTGTGACTGAGGGGAGGGTCAGAAGGGTCTCTTTCTGCCCTAAACTGGGCTCCTTAATACTACAGGAGTGTTTGGGAGAGCTTTGGGAAATGCCCGTCTGAGTTGTCAGGTAGACAGTACCACTCCCAGTTCCTCAGACACCCTGTCTGTGTGCTTGTGCTCAGGTTTTTCCCTCCGGCTAAGGTCACCTCCTCCACCTTGCACATTAAATCCCAACCCTCAGGGTTTGTATCCCATTTGTCGTCCTCTGCTAAACCTTTTCTCTTATTCCATCGGGTTGTGACTTTGCCCCAGTTTGAGCATCTTATAACACTTTTCCCTTTCCTGACACTAAATAAATTATGCCTCAGGTGATAGTCATTGTATTTTTCTCATCAGAAATCTCTGGTTTGGGAAGCAGGGTGTCCCACTCCGGTGCCTCACACAGGGCGAGCACCCAATACGGGCTTGTGGAACTGGGCCCAGTGGTATATTTCCAGTTGGCAAATGGAGGTAGGGTTAGGGCAGACCACGGTTTCCCAAAGTGTTCTCTGTAGGAAATAGTCCTCTGCAAAACGCAGGTTCTGAGGTCAGATTAGCTTGGGGAAGGCCAGACGTTATGTCATTCTGAGGAATTTGTGGTGCACCTTAGGTCGTGAAACATTCTGAGAAGTTCTGCAGTAAAGAAATCTGATTAATTATCATTTAATACCAGTAGTGCTTCCCCATCATATTTGAACCCACAACCTTTCTTAATTGAACACATCAACAGCTCGAGGGCCTAATGTTTATAAAATGCATGTTAGGAAATTCTCAAGCTCATTTTCAAAGGTGTCATGAAGATCTTCCAGTTCCTTTCCCCCAGTACCCAGCATACTTTCTTGAAAAAAGATGATCTAAAGCTCCCAGAGGCTGCCTTTCTCCCCTGGAGTCCCTCTGGGAAGGGTAAAGGCGTGCTTCTACTCTAATTATGTGGTGTACTTATTTTTGTTGGCTTTAGGTTTTTCAGACCATGGGAACATACTTCTGGGGCCTTCAAAAATCTCAAACAATATCAGATAAATACCTGTTTTAGGGATTCTCAAACAATGGTAATATGAATCCAATAAAAGAGATAAAAGTAAAGAAGCAAGTGAAAGACTCTGGTCAAGGCTCCAGGCTTGAGGAGATTGACTCGCTGTACGGTGACACTGAGGGAAATTGCCTTTTCTCTTACAGCATGTTCCTCTTCTCCCTGTTTCCATGATGGCACTTGCCTCCTTGACAAAACTGGATCCTACAAATGTGCCTGCCTGGCAGGCTACACTGGGCAGCACTGTGAAAATCGTGAGTATGCCTCTGGAGTGGGAGTGAAGGTGTCACGTGGGGCTGACGTGGAGAGGGCTCTGGGAACTTGAAGAATGTTGTTTCTTGCTATTTAGGACAGTCTGTCCAGGGTGGCATGTAGTGTGGTTCTCTTGGCTGGGTAGCCTCTGTCCAGGGTGGCATGAGTGGTTCTCTTGGCTGGGCAGCCTCTGACTCGGGATATTGGCAACCACCCAGGTCTTCCCATTGACATTTCAAGACCTTACCTGCTGCATATCCCCCTCAAAAAGATATGCCTTTGATGGCCTCAAATAATATTCAGAGCTCAAAAACATGGAAGAAGGGCCAAGAGTAGAAAGCCACTATCATAAAGTCTCGTGTGGCCCTCAGTCTGAACTCCCTGTGCATTGTAAGATCTGAATTTTGGGCTTCTGCCCCAGGGCAGCATTCATAGACTCCAGGATGTTGTTGCATGATCTGAAACCATTAGCATGGAGGAACTCAACACTGTGACCAGAAGTCATTTATCAAGGGTCGCTGGTAACCAAGGCTTGTGTGTGACGTGTGTCTTAACAGAAGTTTGAGCCCTAAAACAGGTGTCATGACCTGTAACTATCAGCGTGGAATGCGAAGGGCAGAAGAATGAGAAGATTCAGGATTTGGGGGAAAGTGAAGGACAGATAATAGCCTGAGTAGGGTTTCCCCCAGTGGATCCTGAGTGGTGAGTGTGGGTGCAGGTGGTGTATCAGGACATGCTCCCAGAGAAGCTGGCAAGGGAGTGGGGAAGCTAGGCTGGGAAGGGAGGGAAGCCAAGCAAAGGTGTGATTTCAGGCAAGATCCAGCCTCAGTGGAATCTGGCATGTAAATTACTTCTCTGAGTGTGTCCTGGCTTTATAGCAAGGCAGCTGGATTTTCACAGCCCCATTGCAACCAGCCAGTGGCCAAGGGCTGCCCTGGGCCAGTAGGAGAACATGCCTGACTTTCTATGCATGTGGGCCGAGTGGTTCCAGGAGCCCTTGAATTGTCAATGAGATCTCAGGTGCAGGCCATTGGAAGCAAAACAGTATAGACTGGGGGATGGGGAAGGTAAGGGGGCCACAGAAGTAGTGAAAAGGCGTCTGAGCACAGATCACCAATAGCGTCTGCTACAACCACTTGTAACTAGTGTGCACAGGTACTTTGGGGTCATCCTATGAGGGGCCCTGGTCTGATAGCATTCATTAAAATTTGTACATTTGTCAATATTTACATGAGCTTTCCTTGCTAATAAGGCAGACGGAAGCCACGGTGTCAACAGTGTGTTCTTGAGTGTGTCATTGCACTCCGCTGAAAGCATCACTTGCTGTGGCTTGGCGCTGCTGACCTGAGCATGGTTTTGCTGGGTGCTTAGAAAAATGTCTTCTGCTTTATGGTTCCTGCCTCCTTTGAACCTGCTATGTTGTGTGCAAGGCAGAGAGGAGAACTGTAGCTTTCTCTTTGTTTTAAAAATGCACGTATAGAGTGAATCTGGAATCTTGACAATGGCAAATCCTGAGTATTACCCTTTAAATTCAGAGGGAGGAAAAAAAAAAGAAGGCTTAATTTCTTGATGAATTAATTACACTATAACTAGAGATTTTAAAAATGAGCTGGAATTGGAGAGAAGTGAAATATTGCTAAATAAGGCAAAAAGCTTTAAGAAGCTGGGTCAAGGGGATCCCTGGGTGGCGCAGCGGTTTGGCGCCTGCCTTTGGCCCAGGGTGCGATCCTGGAGACCTGGGATCGAGTCCCACATCGGGCTCCTGGTGCATGGAGCCTGCTTCTCCCTCTGCCTGTGTCTCTGCCTCTCTCTCTCACTGTGTGCCTATCGTAAATAAATTTAAAAAATTAAAAAAAAAAAAAGAAGCTGGGTCAAATGAGGGCAGGGGTGGGGTGGAAGGAGAGAGAAATTGATCAAAAGTTGTGACTAAAATATGTATGAGTTGCTTATGAGACAAACATTGTTGTTTCAGAATTGTCATTCCATCCAGAAAACAGAACAAAACAAAACAAATACATATAATGAAAAAGAATGTAAAATACGTCATTATGAACTGATTCATAACTTGAGTCACGAAAGGTCTTAAATTCATTCTGGTCTCAAAACAGCAGCAATCTATGTCCCATCTAGGACAGGAGCGTTCCTCTTAGCCACTTTTAAAGATGTCATGTGAAACCAAAATTCCCTCAGCATCTTGGAGTTGTAACTAGGTGAAGGTATTGGTGGTGGATATCTGATACATCATTTGCTGGCAATCATGTTGGGTGCCACGCATTTTACTATTTTTTTTTAGAAGATTTAGATTTGGTTTTCCTTCTAGGAAATTCAGCAGGAGTTCCAACTAACTCAATGAGGGAAGCATCACAAAAATTGGCTGTGGCAGTTTACCTTGTAATTTCTGAACAAACCTTAGTGGTTTCCTAGAGTTACATTAGCTAGAAAAACATAAAGAGGGGAAAAAAAGATTTGCTTCATTGTTTTCCCCATGAGTATACTACTGAACTGGAAAAATATCCCTGGAGGAAACTGCTTCAAAATGAACAAGAAACTCAAGCATTCTGGGATAATCTAAACTTTGAAATGCCCAAGTTGGACTAGGCATTTGTTTTACAAAATAGCTTTAAAAGCACCAACTCAAATATTAATGAGAATCCCATCTTTTATTTATGTAGGACCAAATCTGATGAGGGGAGACCACTTCATAGATGCTACTTTAATGGTCTGCCCTCCTGAAGTCTTTGTGAGAAGGTGGATGTTCCTTTTAGCAGATAAAGGATTTGAAGCAGAGAGCTCAGTGGTCCCCAGCAACTTCAAAACTCCAGGCTAGAATTCCGCATTTCCCATTTAGTTCACAGTTTCCCAGGCACGGTTCTCACCAGATGAACAATAGATAAGCTCTGGTCATGTCATCGCATCCCATTATCTAGTCCCCTCAAAGGACTTTCCTTCCCAGGTAAGCTCTGCCTGTTACTCTTTTTCAAAGAGAATCCTGATTCACTGTCTCTTGGTATAAACTGTTGTCATCCTTTTCTGTGTATATATTTAAGGATGTGAGTGGGACTAGAATAGAAATAGATTTTCTCCCTACTTATTAAAGAAATATATACTTGTAAAAATAATCAAATAGCCCAGCAGCATATAAAATAGAAAGAGATCATTATTTTCCCTGACCCATCCTCTGTCCCGGTGGAACCACTGTTAACGTGGTACTTCTAGACTTTTTTCTATGATGTGGGAACCTAAGTTGTTGATAAATTAATATTTTAAACCAGTGATCCTCAGTCGGAAGTGGTTTTGGCCCCCATTCCCATCCTCAGGGGCCTTTGGCAACATCTAGAAACACGATTAATTGTCATAATTGCAGGGGGGAGGCCACAGATGCTGCTAAATATCCTGTAGTGTGCCAGCCCAACCCAGACCAGAGAGTTATCTGGCCCAAGTGTCAATCGTGCCAAAGTTAAGAAACCCGTTTCAAACAAAAAGAGATTGAGGGATACGTGCAATTTTTCAACTTATTGTTTTCATTGCCTGTATCGTGGACACTTTTTCCAGGCCAGTCCATGTTGACCTACCTCATAAAAACAAGTGATTTTCTGAGTATTCCCTTGTAGGGATGTATACACCATCATTTATTCATCTAATCCCTTCAGATGGACTTGATACCATACTTAATTAATTGTTATAAGGAAAGCAGCAATGAATATACTACACTAATTTCTTGGTTCATACGTAGAGGTATTTTTGTAAGGGAAATCCCTAGATGTTGAACTGTTAGCTCAAAGGAGACACAGATTTAAACTTTTGAGAGGTATTGCCGAAATGGTCCCTAAAAGGTTTCACCAGTTTACAAGACGAGGTCTTATAAATATCAGTCCTCAAAATAAGAATTAGAACTCACAGGGACGCCCGGGGGGGCTCAGGGGTTGAGTGTCTGCCTTTGGCTCAGGGCATGATCCTGGGGTCCCGGGATCGAGTCCCACATTGGGCTCCCTGTGGGGAGCCTGCTTCTCCCTCTGCCTGTGTCTCTGCCTTTCTCTGTGTCTCTCATGAATAAATAAATAAAATAATAAGAAAAAATAATTAGAAGTCACATTTGAGAGACTAGGATCTGTTCTTGTCTAGTTGAAAATGAATTTCTTTCCTTTTTTTTTAAGATTTTATTTATTTATTTGAGAGGGATAGGGAGAAAGAAGGAGAGAGAGCAGAAGGAGGGGGAACAGCAGGAGAGGGAGAAGCAGGGAGCCCGACGCAGGTCTCAATCCCAGGACCCCAGGATCATGACCTGAGCTGAAGGCGGACGCTTCACCCACTGAGCCATCCAGGTGCCCCGAAAATGGATTTATTTTTGGAGGAAGATGAATGGGTGTGAGGGAAGGCCTCGCGCCCAGACTTCGGGGTAGTAGCAGAGAAAGAGGAAGAAAGAGCGGGTGCAGGTTGGGCTCGTTCGGTGGTCCAGAGGCTGCGAGAGCCCTGGTGCCCTGCGTGGCCCTGCTGCCCCAGGTCTGCTTCCCAAGGAGGAGCTGTGGCCCCTGCTCCCAGGTCACCTCCTCCGGGAGCAAACCCCGGGGAGCGGCCCCCTCCTTGACTCTGGGGCCACACTAGCTTCCTGCCAGCACCCTCCGTGACCCCAACCTCTCTGGGTGTAAGGAACCAGGGTCCCCCTGACCCCCTTTCTTCCCTGTGAAGTTTCCTGTTTCTTTGTATGAAGCACAAGGACAAACATCAGTTCTTGCGTCAATGGTGGGAATCCTGTTTGGTGGAAGTGGAGAGCGAGGGACTCAGCGCCCCGTTCCAGTTTCCACTCGCCTTTGTTCCTCTGGCCCCGTTGCCAATGCCGGGCTCTCCCCCGCATCCTAATGAAGGGCCGGAGACGGGCTGAGTCGCGGGGCACAATGCTCACACTGCAGGCCCCGACGCGCTTTGAACAAAACAAGTCGGCTTCCACCAATTAGAGAACACTGGGGAACCCGGATTCGTGTGGGGTTTGGAGCGTCGGGAGCTT